CCCCACCGATTTCTATCCCTGGGAACATACATCTTTCTAATCTTTCCAAGGGTATCCCACCGCTGTAAATACCAGTGTGGCCAAATCACGCCTCTTTCCCCTCTTTCTGTTTTTTTTCCTACAGGAAAAGGTTTATTACAGCGGAATATAACCCTCTCTGGCTTTAGGATTGGGTTTGCATTTCTCTTCAGAAGGGGCCAGCTTGTACATGAAGAAAGGGGTTGAACATTTGGGAAAGCCCTTTTTTCTTGGACTGCTGACGCGTACCGCGGCTACGTGCTGCTCCGGAGCCCCGCGGATTACTTTCCAACTTTAACAGCCTCCACCATGATACTTCACTTTCTAGCTTTGGGGGCCTTTGTTTTTCAGACTGAATGTTACTTTTCGGAGGAGAAGTATCCAGAGGAGTCGAAAATGCAGCCTCCAACCGTGGTTATCGCTATCATAGCGAGAAATACCGGTCACTCCCTGCCATACTACCTCGGAGCTCTGGAGAGACTCAACTACCCCAAAGATCGCATCTCTGTGTGGTGGGTTTCCTGCATGGACTGCCAGGCTGTTTGTAGAGGGGTCTCCTTTTTATCCGTCTATAGCAGCCGTTCAAAAGGTCAATGGCATTTAAATGAGTTTGTGAAAGCAGCAGCGTCCTACCCCTCCCCTATTCCCTCTGCGCCTTTCACAGTCCAGGCTGCCTTTCACTCCGCCGCATTCGTTTCCTACCGTCGCTCGCTTGGAGTTTTATGTCCCGTGAAGTTTGTATAGAGTAACTGTACCAGCAGTGATTTTACTTCTTTATAATTCATGCTGCATGTTCAAATCTACAAACTCTAGGGATTTAGCTGTTTAGACAGCGCGGAGTGGTTTATTAGTGAGGAAGTAAAAGAGATCCCGTTTAATCGGTGTAATGATGGAAAAAGATTAACTGTTGGTTTAAGATGAGGAGATGACTCTAGTATGTTGAGTCCTACGAGAATATTGATCATCATCGTCATGAAAGTCATGGCAATTTTTGACTTTTAATTATTTATTTGAAACAAAGTAAGAACTTTATTTTGGATTTTCTCTAATCCATACAGAGTCAAAAATAAACATCCACCCACACGAAGATTTAGCAAGCAGCACCTCAGATGCCTTGGTAGCCACCAACAAGCTTCTGGCACACTTCCAGACGGATATTTGAACTCTCTTCTTAGTAGAATTAGTAGAGTTTATTTAAATTGGTTGGATCCAGATCGGGCCTTTAAGCATAGTCCACAAATTGTCAATAGAGTTGAGGTAGGTGCTTTGGGAAGGCCATTCCAGAAGCTTAATGTTGGCCTGCTTTATCCATTCCAATAACAGTTTTGATGTGTGTTTGGGATCATTGTCCTGTTGGAACACTCAGTTGTGTCCAAGTTTCGACTATCCATCTGTTGATTTCAGGCTTTATCTTTACCCCTACCACTGGCAGCAGAGCATGATGCTACCAGCACCATGTTTGACACCTGATAGTGTTATTGTGTTTGAAAGTAACTGTAAATTGTAGTCAAGCTTGAAGGTGTTGATTTTAGATCAGGGGGTTCTTTTTTCGGTTAGCGCTCTCTCAGTCCATGGTGTTGTAAAACTCACTCCAGTGTGGACAGTGACATTGGTGTTTCACCAACTTTCAGTTCATGGCAGGCTTGAGCCTTGGAGGTTCCTGGTTTGTTCCTGAACATCCTAATCAGTTTCCTCTCATCTGAGAGTAACGATTTGGGTCTTCTTCCAGACACATGAGAGTAACTTTTACATTGTATAATTGTTTGAACCAATGATCTTGGAATCCACAGTTGTTTAGAAATGGCTCAAAGAGACCTTCCCTAACTGTGTCTCCAGTTGCTGTACAAATATGAGTTTAAAGAAATCATTAAGAGCCCTAATATTATGATGAAGTAAAAAAAAAAAGGATGTTACTCTGCAGTGGTGTCTTATTTGCACAAATGAAAAAAACAAGACTAACAAAAACCTGGTCATGCAATAGAGCCATTCTGCTAATTGACAGATATCTAGTATCTTTGATATACCTTGTCATTTTGTCCAACCCTACTTCACCACAAGTAAAGGTTTGCTAGAGTGACACTGCTGAAGATAACTCACAGCTGTGGACAGGAACGGGATCCAATGCATATTTTAGTGCAAAAGCTGTCGGCCACTTTGCTCTTCTTTTCTGCCCAGAGGTGATGAAGTGCATTAGGTTAAAAGTAATGAAAAAGTAAATTTTTCTTTATATAACCCCTTTCAAGATGAATATCACAAAATGCTAAAAACATAAAGACAAAAAAGTTACCAAAAAGCAAGGTTAAAAATATGCATTTTTAACCTCATTTTTAAAAGAGATCACCAACTTCATAGTGCTATGACTCAGTGGGAGAGAGCTTCAAACTCTTGGGGTATTTGTCTCATTTATTTTTATATTTCTATATCAGCCAGCAAGTCCTGATTAAGTCACCTCAGGGATGTACTGGGGATGTAAGGATACAAAAAGATACCTGATATATGCTGGTGCTTGTTAATGCAGAGCTCTAAAAGTCAAAACTAGAATCTTAAAGTAGACTGAAGTTAATGGGGTGCAAGTGGAACTGAATTAGCGAATTGCAATAATCTAGATGTGATGAAATAAAAGACTGATTATGATTTGATTGATTTCCAATTCAGACTGTGAAACAATGAAACCTAACTTGACAATATTTCTGAAGTGATAAAAACGAGAGTGAACCAGAGCTTTAACGGGAGTATCCACAATCAAAAGTTATTCAAACTTTAGCAAAAGGGGCAAGGCAATCTAGAATTTCCATTACCTTCAGCACAAATCTGTCATGGGATTTTTGCTTTCTCTTCACTAAGTTGAAGAAATTTGACAGCCAGTCTATCTAGCAGTGATAAGAAATGTCCTTAAAAGTGATGAAAATGTGCTGAAAAGGGAGCAGATATGACAAAAACGGTAAAGGCCCCAAAATAGAACCTTGTGGTGTACCGTAAACCAGAGAAGCGGAAAATGATTGTTCAGATCATTCAGTGGAACTGAGAGACAACATTAAAACGTTTACAAACCTGAAAAACTCTGCTCAAATAAGTAGTAATCATTTGTATTGTGTTGTTTTGTATTGTATTTGGTTTTGTTTGTTGATCGAGTAATACACAGGCTGAACATCAATATTGGGCACTGAATCAAATAAGCCTGTCAGCAAATAATTTGACATTTACCAACGAGAGCGGGAATGGAGCATGAAATTTGCACCGGCATGATGAGGAGCTGAAAAATTCACATAATGTAGATTTCACTGTTCCCCTGGCACAACGAGGGGAATAAGTAATAACAAGAACCAACGCCAAGTTTAGGTTCCCTACGTCTGGTGCAGTTACTTCACCCTCTGCCTTCTCTGTGCTTTCCAGGGCAGCCACGGATCACAACACAGATAACACCACAGCCATACTGAAGGAGTGGCTGACTGTCATGCAGAAATATTACCATTATGTTGAGTGGAGACCAATGGACAAGCCAACGTAAGTCTGAAAATGTTAGTGTTGAGCTTTGTGTACTGCTGGGATTTGAGTTTGGAAACACCCCCAACTTGATCTTACAGCACACGTGGATCAAAGCAGATCACCTTCAATAGTTGCTTTCTACAAGGGAAATGACAGGAACAATCCCTTTTACTCATCAGGAGGCAAATCTATGATCCTCTGAAGTGTCATCCTGGTATTGACAAAATAAATCCAACAATGTTCAGATTGTACATGTATTGATTTTTCTTACTGGCTCTTTTTGTCCACGTGTTCAGTGAAAGTATTAACACCCCTCTGTAGGCTGCAACTTTGCAGTTCATCTGGTATTCATTTTAAAAGCTAAAAAAAGAGTTTGACAAAGCATATCTAGGCTTGTCTGTACACGATGCTCTGCTTTCTATTAGCAGACTCTTTTATGCCTGTCAGTTATTATTCTGAGTGAGTTCTGCTAAACTTCTACAGTCATGAAACTGTTACGTTATCCACCTGTTTATGCTCTTTTCACAGCACCACAGAACTTATTTACTGTTCTGGTTTTATTTAATCCATTAGCATCGGCATGCTGTATTCACTGTGGTCAACACTCCAGCATGATTCAGCGATGCTGTTTTTGTTTTGTTTTGTTTTTTTTACAATAGAAACCATTCAGCCAATCACATATTTGCTTCACGTGGCAAATTATACAACATTTTACCAATATAGTATTATATCCCCTAATAATACTGTACTTCTGTGTGTCTTAGGTCCTATGCTGGAGAGCTGGGTCCTAAGCATTGGCCCAACAGCAGATACGAATATGTGATGAAGCTGAAACAAGCAGCGCTCAACTTTGCCAGGAAACGCTGGGCTGATTATATCTTGGTACCTTTCTTGTGATAAGTTTCATATTATCTCCTTTCTTGATTAAGCAGATGGGATGTCTTTCTTACTGAGGCTGTTATTTCATCCAAGAAAAAAAAACTTAGCAACTGTAATTTGAATGAAAAATACTTTTTCCTTTGTATTTTCTGTCTCTGTGATTCAGTACGCAGACACGGACAATATCCTCACAAATCCAGAATCCCTCAACCTGCTGATAGCAGAAAACAAGTCAGTCATCGCTCCTATGTTAGATTCTCCGGGGGCGTACTCTAACTACTGGTGTGGTATTACTCCACAGGTGAGCAGCACTTAAAAATGAGTGATTATTTATCCGCTTAAAGGGAATACTTGAGAAAAAAAAATTGTTGTTGCTTTCTTGATGAACATAATGCAGAAAAATGACACAGATCTAGGACATAAGTAATATGTATATTTTTTTAAATATTCCAATTCTTTAGGGATATTATCGTCGAACAGCAGAGTACTTCCCCACCCGTCATCGTCACCGAGTGGGCTGCTTCCCTGTGCCTATGGTCCACAGCACCCTGCTGCTGGATTTGAGGAAGGAGGGCATGAAAAAACTTGCTTTCTATCCTCCTCATGAGGACTACTCGTGGCCCTACGACGACATTATTGTTTTTGCCTTCTCCTGTCGGGCTGCAGGTCTGTAGATGCTCGTGTGTTATTATGTTCAGCAGTCAGGTTTACTCAACACAGCTGTTGCACTAAATCACGTCTGCGCTTGCTTCACTGTAGAATATTTGTATATTTCAGGACTCAGTGTTGAAAATATACATGAATAAATATGTTTATAATTAATTAAATGATTGCTTTTCGTTGCTACTCAGAGATACAGATGTACCTGTGCAACAAGGAGCGCTACGGCTACCTGAACGTTCCAGCCAAACCGCACTACACCTTAGAAGACGATCGTCTCAACTTTGTCCATGTTCACCTTGAGTCTATGAGTAAGAGCATAGATGATTTGTAATACTAAAGCCAAATAATGACAGTTAAAAAAAAGGCACATCAGCTCACCTCTCTTTTACCCCCCCCCAAACTAATATCCCTGCTTGTGGAAAAGTCGACGGGCCACCCATGTATCCTTCCCGTTTCATCCACATGTTTCCAAAACAGAGAGACCTCCTGGGATTTGATGAGGTAGGTGAACCAGTTCAAGTTTTTTCAGTTAATGTGTAAAAAAGGTTAACCCAACCTTATACAGGCTTGTTCTATGCAGTAATGAAAGCATGGATGTAATTATGTGTAATATATAATATAATTATACATCAACTTTTTAGGTAGTACTTTATGTTCAGCAAGATTCAGACCAATTATGATGCATGTTTTCACTGAGTGAATAGAGTTTGAAAACATGCCGAATATGCAGTCGACCCATTTGATGAAACTCAAAGATTTATGATGATGGTACACAGTGTCCAGATTTAAATAACGTTCTGGGTCGCCCATCTCCTGCACAGATTTATCTGATTAACCTGCGACGGCGTGCTGACCGCAGAGACAGGATGTTGTTCTCTCTAAACGAGCTTGAGATTGACGTCAAAGTGGTCGATGCCGTGGATGGAAAGTGAGTGGATTGCTCTCAGGTCTTTTCCTCTCTCAGTTTTATAGTTAAGTTTGTCAAGAAATGTAACACCGTGTCAATTCAGACTCTTGGTGTGAGGCCAATTTCAATTCTTATCTTGAAAATATGGACACTTGTAGTTTATAATAAATATCAGCGTTATGGCTACGTATGCTCCAAATTTGAACGCTCTTCTCTTATCAAAGACAGAATTACCTAAAAAAAAGTGTGTGCGTGTGTGTGTGTATGCAGTGCACTGAACAGCAGTGACATTAAGATTTTGGGTGTCGACCTGCTGCCAGGATACTATGACCCATTCTCTGGACGCACTCTGACCAAAGGAGAAGTGGGCTGCTTCCTCAGTCACTATTACATCTGGAAGGAGGTGAGAGGACACACACTGTCACACATTTGTCAAATCCCTTTTCTGAAGTTAAAACTCAAATATTTTAATTTATACTTCATAGTATATATACTATATAAGAAGAAAGCATAATTGTATATACAGTCCTTGCAAATCACCTTTTTACAATATTATGATACAGTCATGTGAAAACAAAAGTATAACGTCTTTGAGTTCTAAGCGTTTCTATATCAACTTCAGTAGCTTTTACGTTACCTTTAGCAGTAATAACTTGAAGTAGTGGTTTTCTGGATGACTTAATCGGTGTCTTACATCATTGTGGAAGAATTTTGGCCCGCTCTTATTTACAGCACGCAGCTTCACTTCACTGAGGTTTGCAGGCATCTATTTATGCACAGTTATCTTAAAGTCCACCACACCATTTCAGCGGAGATGAGGTTTGGACTTTGATTCGGCCGTTGCAACACCTTGATTTATTTCTTTTTCAGGCATTTTGTTGTAGATTTGCTGCATGACCCAAAGGTTTTAACTTTTGGACAGAAGGCCTCGTATTTAACACTAGAATGATCTGGTATACAGAGGAGCTTCTGACTCGCAGCACAGGTCCTGTGGTTGTAGAAAAAGCACAAATAATCACACCTCTACCATTGTGCTGACAGTTGGTGTGAGGTTTATGTGCTGTGTTTGGGTTTTCTCCAGACATATCAGCGTCCATTATGGCCAAACATCTTCACTTTGGTGTCATATGTCCACCACACATTGTTCCAGAAGTCTTGTGGGGTTTTTTTTAGATGTAAGTTTGCAAACCTAAGCCGTGCTGCCAAGAAGAGGCTTTCTTCTTGCAACCCTTCAAACTTGCCGTATGTTTGTGGACATTTGCTGGGATGTCCACAGGAAGATTGTCAGCTGTACTGAATGTTTTCAAAAAATGGACTTCAAATGATTGAAAATGGCTTCACAACCCTTCCAAGACAAAAGACAGCAACAATTGCTTCTTTAAGGTCATGTGTAAGATGTCTTTCCTTCTTGACATTGTGTTAACACACACCTGAATGCTCCATACCACCAAACTGCCAAAACATCTGCTTTTATATAAGTGCTCACACCTGCTGATGTTAAGTGTATTTGATTCACAGTGCCTGGCTGCTATTTACCCTCTTAATTCATATCTAAGTAAGTTGTCCTTAGCTTCTGCATTATGGAGTTGTTCTCATACAATCAATAATGACATGATGTAATATATAATGTGTGGTTGTTAATCTGAATTTGCATTTACATAAGAACTGCTAAGGACCAGATTATTTTTATGTAAAACCTTAAAATTCAAAGAAGGCGTACTTTCTTTTTCACGACTGTAAATGAAAATAATTGCACTCAGCTGAAAACCAAGAATCATGTTTGTAAAGAAGATGGATGCAAAATAAAAACCTGCTTTTATGACACAAACCTTTTGATTTATTTAACAGGTCAGGCTTACAGTGTGTATACTTCTTTTTCCATAGATGGTGGACATGCAGATGGATAAGGCCCTGGTCTTTGAAGACGATGTTCGCTTTCAGGCCAACTTCAAGCGGCGAATACTCAAAATGATGCAGGATGTGGAGCAGGTGGAGCTGGACTGGGACATCATGTAAGACACATTTTACTCCTAGTTTCCAGTCCAGTTCCTGTTTTTGGTTAAGGTTAAATGAGACGCAGGTAAGAAGGCTCAGGTTAGGTTCATTATAAAGTCCAAAGTGCATTTGTACCCTTTGATATAGTTTGCTGGTTTTGTTTGAAATCATACAAACAGGATTAGACACAACTTCAGACAAAGTTTGAAGTTTTTCTAGTGTAGAATTTGGGACAAATTTATGACTATGATATACAATAATAACTTAATGGAACATATTTTTGTAGAGCAATCGTATTTGCTATAACCATTAACATTTTGTGTACTGTGCAGAACCATGAAGTCCAGTAAGGTGATTTTTTTTTCTCATATTATGAGATAAAATCATTTAATTAAAAAAACAAAACAAACCCTGATAGAATATCCCAAGCTCCATGGTTAAAGCTCATCCAAAATACTTAAACATGTGACGTTAGCACTTTCTTTTTTCGTACATATTTGGAAGGAAAATGCACGTACAGAGCATGTGCTGAAAAATGTTTTATGCCTGCTAGGCAGAAAAGAACAGCAAGGTGGAGTTTGATTGTAAAAATCACATGCCTTGACCATCCTGGGTTTTTGCTGCTTCTACCCCGCGCCTGATTTTTTTTTTTTAACTTCTTTAGTTCTTATGATCGCTTTATGTTGCCACAGATACTTGGGCAGGAAGCAGGTGAATCCTGGAAAGGAGGAGCCAGTGGAGAACGTTCGTAACTTGGTGATGGCCGACTACTCGTATTGGACTCTGTCCTACGCCATCTCCCTACAGGGAGCCCAGAAACTCCTCAATGCTGAGCCACTTTCCAAGATGCTGCCTGTTGATGAATTCCTCCCCATTATGTACGACAAACATCCGAAGTATGTATCATAAAAAAGTGTCAAAAATACACTCATGCTACTCTCTGCACACTTTGAAGTTTTTCTGGTTTTCTTCTTGTATGTTCCATACAGTGACCGCTATAATGAAACCTGTTCTTCAGCACTCTTTAATCTCCTTCTCCTGCGAGACCGTTTAAACTAAAACAGACCTCAGGGCTAAAAACATTCTTTTCTATAGCTGCCTAAACATGTGTACATGCTTTATATTTAGCCTACTTTTGTTTGGAGTGTATAGATTAAAGAACTATGTGGAAGTCTGTGGTTTTACTTCACTGCATTTTTCTGAAAGAAAGTCACTTTGATATGTTGTGCTTGTCAAGCTGAATTAGCGCACCACATTTCAAAATAGATTTAATCTTTCTCAGCATTTTCCTTTTATGATGCACAGGCCTCGTGTCTGCATCTCTTTCTGGGATTAATGGTCTGAATTTTTGTCAGTGTGGGCTGACATTTTCTTAAACACAGTGTGACCGACAGATGTGAGCAGCCAGAGTGGACTCAGTTTTGTTTGTGGTAAAGAAGATATATATTTTTTCCAAGCCTATGTTGTCGCCTTTCTCCATGAATTACACTACTGTATGGTCAGTCCAGACTATTTTAGTCCATACTTAAATTTCTATGGTTTGTTATTTAAGTTTATACCAGTGTTTGTGGCACTCACAGTATGGTCTGTACTTACTTTGGTAAAAACAAAACAAAAATTAAGCTGCAACATCAAAGTTTCTTTATTAAAGATTTGATATAAAAGAATTATGCTGCCACACTAATATCAGTCATTTGTTTGGGCACTTTAATTTTGAAGCCTTATATTTAGAACTACAGCATTTTTTGGTTTGTTTATGCCGTTGGCTGCGAAATCAAAATGATGCTTTAATAATGTGTTGTACGTGTATAATCACAAAAAAGAATAATTTTAGCCCATTGATAGGTGGTCGCTATTATCATTTATCATATATATTCAGCTTTGGCAGATAGAAATGAGCTATTGTCAAGAAATGAAAGATGGTAGGATGGTTGACAAGTTGCATCATGTGAATTTGTCACAGACATAGATACCTGCTAATTAAAGCTCACTAAAAATATTCTTTTATATGCACCATAACTAGAGCACAGACAGTTCAGTCACTCTAAATAGCTAAGGCCTACCAGTTGAAGGGGAAATTGTATTTTCTGGTTGGAAGTTGGCCTACTAACATTGGAGTCAATGGGGTTGACTCACTTTGGGAGCAAGCCTCCAGTGGCCATTGTTGGAACTGCTTTTTTTTAATCATTGCCTTTAATTTTCAACCACAGATGTTGTTGTTTAGTTTTAACTACTGCCATAATAATACAGACATCCATGGTTCCTCCACCATGATGACTATGGTTATCCCTTAGCGTTCATCTGGCATCACTATGAGGTTGACATTTTTGGTTGCAAAGGTCCAGACGACTGTCTGATGCAATAAAAATGCACGTTTGTCTCTCCGTACAAAGGAAGCCTAACCACATTGGCGATCCTTCAACTGCTGACTTGGAGCCATCATCTGTAAAGCTTCTATTTCATGCTAGATGGTTGCTGGAGGTCTATAAAATATCGACTTCACCTCCAAATGTATCTTTAAATTATTAGTGTAATGGGTGAATCAAATTCTGGCTTTAACAATGATATCCTTGACAGTTTCCCCAACAAGGCAACTGTTCTCGTCATCAGGAACTAACTCTAAGAAATGAAATGCACTTTGTGCCAAAGGATCTGCAAACCAGAAGGCCTGGCTGTGTCTGTGTGCTCCATCATGTGTGGAAATCTGGCCTATAGCCAGCCTGCTTTCTCTGCACTCTCTCTCTTTTTCACACCACTGTGATTCTGATTTGATATGCTTGACTAGTCTGCTGAGAACACTCAACAAATGCACCCCATGCATTGTTGCCCTTCATGCCAAGAGTAACTGAACCATCTCTGAAATTGGCCTGTTGTCACCATCTCTTGTCAAATCAGTATAGTGTAATGAAATCACAAAATATCCCTGATGTTTATATTTAACATTTCAGTAAATGGTGAAAAATTGCTCAAACTGCCCCCCCCCCAAGAAAAACAAAACTTCTACCTGTAGTTCCAGCGCTGTTATTTTTGTTATTTTTTCTTTATTGTGACATCCTATCCTGTGTTTTTAAGTTTCGAATGATTTTACCCAGTCTAAACACTGCCTTTGTGCTCCCTCTGCAGCGAGGACTACAAATCCCACTTCCCCAATAGAAACTTACAAGCCTTCAGTGCGCACCCCCTCCTGGTCCAGCCGTGTCACTACGCCGGTGATCCCCAGTGGGTGAGCGACACAGAGACGTCGACCCTGTGGGATGATGACTCTGTGAGGACTGATTGGAGGGGCTCCCACAAGACCCTGAAAGGGGCTGCCCCGGCACCCGAGATGCTGTCAGTCGCCTACAGGGATGAACTTTAGTGCAGCACAAATGTAGCTGAGGAGAATCTGCAGGTCCACAGGCCATGAGGTCAGAGAGACTGTTACTGAGGAGAGAGTGATTCTTTCACTCCACCTTGTGTCATAAAACTGACATGCTCAGTGTCATTTAACCTGAGCTTCTTAGATAGGAGGCAACAACATAAGATATGGTGTTCGTTTCGGCTTTGTGTAAAGACATGCACAGTTGTCTCGGTGTAATAAATGCGTCAACCTGCACAATAGATTTTTCTCAAACAACCCCATGTTTAGAGTGTTTATCCTTCTATGTGCTTTTCTTTTACTTTGCTCAGTCATCTAGTTTAGTTGCTTCATTTAGAGCGTTAATTCATTCTGTATGGTTCGTGTCAACCTGTTTAAATGTACTCCTGTGATAGTGCGTAATCTGTTGATCATATTCTAACCGAGGGTTCAGTAATTGCACTGTTAACAACTCCTGGCAAGTCTGGAAAAAAAAGTCTGAAATGTATTGGCTATTGTTTTTTTTTTCCTTTTCTTTTTTTCGTGTTGCTATAATCTGTCTGTACATTTCTGTGCTTGCGTGTGTCCTCCACTGGGGACTGGAGAGTTAACACAAATCTCGAATGACCATAATTGATGTTTTTTTTCTTAATTTCTTCCAGACCTTTCTCAAACTTGTGTATCTCTGAAAACTATGAAAGTTTATATTAATTAAGTATTTTATTAGTAGCTCTTACACATTGAATGTTTGCTTTTGATCAGTTTACGCTTCTTCAGATTGATTTTTTTTTTCTTAAGTTAATGGATTAACTTGGATTATCTTCTACTCCCTAGCTGTATTTTAATATTTTCACATTTACCCATGTTCATCCTTAAGAGTTTAACATGAACTGGAAACAAAATTACCTTCATGTAATTTTGCGCATATTACTGGTTTTAAAATATTACATCATGATTCGAGAACCGTTTGAGAAGATTTCAGGTTTTATGACACTATTACAACCACGAGAAATTCATAAAGTAAAAATACTTTTTTTTGAAGGCCCAATTACTTACATAAAATCTGTGCAACATGTTGAGGCTTGAAGAGTGTAGCTTTGGTTTTTATCCAGTTTTGGAGAGCGTCCACATGTTATGTTTAAAAAGTATAAATGCTATGTGTTGCTTAAGTGTTTAAAGGTCTTATGAAAGTACAGCCTTTAACAGTCTTTTGTAGCATCGCTGTCGCTCCAGGATTGAGCTGACACTCGTCTAGACAGGGTTGCAGTGCAGGTAACTGATGTCGCAAGTTTGTGGATTTGATCAGGTCAAACTAAACTTGTATTTCATTTTTGTGCACATTGATGACGGTCTGTTTCGTATATTGTTTTTTTGACATTGAAGATTTGTTTTCCTGCAAATATCTTAACTTATTTGTTTTTCTTTGTGAATCACAGATGAGTTGCACAACATGATGTACGATACCTGGGTCCAGTTTTGTCTCTGGGTCTACTTTTTGTCTCTGCATCTTTGAGCAATAAATTTATATTAATATTACGATTCATTAATTGCCACTGATTTCACATCTGGATAGCAAGCAGCTCAGAATGGAAATACAAATATTTTTGCACTGTTATATAAATGGTTATGGACTGTTAGTTAACAAATGAACATATTTTATTAAATACACAAAGCTACCATGTACTAAGAAGAAAAAACACAAGGGGGTACTGTTTCCTAAATTCTGCTACTGCAGCCAGAGTTTACATACATGCACACCTATAGATGTGTGTGTAGATGGAGAAGTACATAAATGCAGTTTAAGACACAATTTTTGCAGTGGATTTTAAATCAGTCATTGTGATTGATGTGCAGACTTTCAGTTTTTATTCAAGGGGATTTACAAAAATTTTGCATTAACTGTTTAGGAATTACAGTCATTTTCATATACAGTGCCGCATTTTTAGAGGCTCAGAACTGATGAAAATTCCTTTTCAGCCATCAGCATTAAGTCTAAAGAAACATTGACATTGTTAAATGTGTTTGCTTCACTGAGATGCTGGCTGCCAGGCCTTTACAGCAGCCACCATCAGTTGCTGCTTGTTTTTAGGCCTCTTTGCCTTCAGCTTGTGTATTTAATAACTGAAAAGCATGCTCTGTTGGATTATGACTGACTTGGCCACTGAATAATATCCCATTTCTTTGCCTTTAGAAATGCTTACACTTTAGTTGTATTTTGTGGTTTTTCAGGCCCTGAGCTGGCCAGTGCATTTATTCTTATAAACAACGTACCAGTTTGTTGATTTGACAATTCCTAAAGTCTTTACTGCCTCTGATGGTTTATTTAGTCTTTTTCTTTTCAGCAGAATAAAGGGCTTGCTCACTGGCACTGATGTGTCTTTAGGTCTCAATTAAAATAACAGTAACAAGCTGTAGACTTTGATTTGTGTAAGATATAAATTCAACACTTTGAATCATTCTTATGTCTACTACATTTGTCATTTAATTACAAGGGATCAGCCGTCACCTGGCCACGAAACTGCTTGTCAGTCATTTGTTCGATTACTTTTCCAACAAATAGGGGCTGTGTATAAAAATGGCAACGATTCCTTAAAAGTTAAAGCATTATTTTGTTAAATCCCCTAAAGCCAAAGTCAGCACTTCAATCAGTTAATGTTTGATTTAAAAGCCTCTGTGGTAGTGTACAGTGCAGAGGCAAAACTACAAAAACTGTCTTTATCCAACTTGATGTGTTTTAAAGTGCAGGCCACAAGGAAATAAATACAATACTGTACATTTCAGAATTATAAGGGCAGAAGCAAAGTAAGGTTGCGTGATTTATTTCTCGAACATTTTGTATTTAAAGCCACATGAATTATTCGTTTTGCACCTCATTTTACTGCTACCACATAAGAAAAGGGGTTTCCACATTAACAAATGCCAATAAAACCAGTTTTCTATTTTCATTACTTAAAATATAAATATTTACAAAAAATGCCACACATACAAAATAAAATCAGATTCTGGGAATCTAAACCCAAAAAATAAATCCCAGTTAAACACCTGAAAAACTCACAAGGAAGTCCCCCACTCCATCTCACCTGTTGTTCTCCCCTTTAGCAGGTGTTGAAAATCCTGGGAAACTTACCCAAACTCCCAGGAGAAGAAAGATGAGTGCGCACCCTGCCCATGCATTCTGCAGAGGCACTAAAAAACTGCAGAATAATCCAAAGTGCAGGATATTTCTCTTCAATTTCAACTCAAAAACAGTCTGTGCTCCAAGTTGAAGGCCAGGCCATTGAGAAAGGAGCAACTGCTTTGTAACAATAAAACTAAGATGATTGAGAAAGTTCCAGGAGCATCCATACATGTCCATGCAGACCTTTTCCAGAGATTTCCTGACCTGTGAATAAAACTTTCTCCCAATGAAATTATTGTCAAATTCCAGTCCAGCCCTATGTTTCTTATTACTAAAAATAGTGTTGCATCTTGCAGTACTGCCTCTGTAACACTGACAAATAAGTTCACATGACGCGTGGGTTGTTGCACTAGCATAGCCTTTTTGTTTTCTGTTGTTACAGGTGAACTGGTTTTTTTTTTTTCAGGTGTTAGGTAAGGGTTAAATTTCATGAGAGTAAAATTAGAACAAGTATAGCTCGTTTGGATGAATTACCAGGACAAAACAAACCAAAACAAATCCTCCTCTCACTACATGGCAGGACGGCTCAGATTTGAAAAATTGGATCTGAACAAACTGTGAGACTTCTAGGACAGATGTCCTTTGGAAGGTACTACAGGTACTTGGCCATATTGCACAGTCCTGTTGTTCATAAAACGAATGCCTGCAAACCTTCATGAAGTGAAGCAAAGCCGTAGAGACGAGTGGGCCAAAATACCTCCACAACAATGTGAGAGGATGATAAAGTCATAAAGAAAATGATTACTTCCACTTATTGCTGCTAAAGGTGCTTCTGAAAATTATTAGTTTTTCACAGGGCTACACAGAATCCCGTGAAGGCTTTGCCTCCAAATAACCTCTCATGAAAGAACACCTGCTCATCTCTCATCTGTGAACACTGTGTGCAAAAGGGTGAGACACTTCCACGACAACTTGTCAATCAGTTGTTAACTTACACAGCTGAAAATGGGGGAATCAAATCAACACTGCCATTTCTGAGATACTGAAAAATGTATGTGCATATCACCATGAAAGCTGATAATTTCTTCTTTTATTTCTTTGTCATCTTTACAAGTTACCAGTAAAGGACAGCTTTCTCTCTGCTGTGAAAATAACTTCTGAGAGCACTCTAAAAATGAAGGGCTCGACACAAACGTAAAAAATATTTTCTCAGTCTATTCATGTAACAGTTATTAGCTATCCCCCCCACACCCTCTAGCAGATCATTACATGAAGGAACCTTTAAAAACAAACAAACAAGTGCGTCCATGCTCACAGGTGTACACACGGGTGATCACACCCACAAACTACACCCTTTTTGGCTCCTACCTCAAAGCACACTGTGTTCTGTTGATCTTATGTGCTGCACAATAATGTTTAATATTTAGTATTTACTGTCATATTCCCATATATCATTGTGATGTTGTTTATTCTATTACTCTTGTTCTCTTCTGCTTGTTTTCTTTTTTCTTTCTCAGCAGGTGATCCAGGTGATTGATATATGCATTTTTTTTCTTTTCTTTTTTTTTCTGCTCATTCTGTTGGTTTTTGTCTTTTGCCCTTCTCCCCGTCCCTCTTCTCAGCTGTTTCTCTTTCCCTCTTTCTTTCTCCCCTTCTTTCCCCCAGTCAAGTCTGTCCCGTATTCAGTAAGTGAAAATAAAATAAACAATAAAAGGTGAATCAAATGGACCATTACGGCAAGGCTGGGATGGTCAATTTGGTAAAGTAAATCCGTTGGGCATCTTTCTTTGCCTTTAGACAACAATTCTGATGGCAAAAGAGCCAAACGGGACAGGCAAAAAAAACAACAAAAATTTTTTTTTATTAGCTATTGACTTAGGTTTGTTATTAATAAGTGACCTTTATGTATATATATGCCTGTATATATTGTGCTATTCTTAGTTAGTGTATTGTCTGTCTTTGTTAATGGTTGTTTATAATGGAGCACTGTAACGAAAAAGAATTTCCCCTAGGAAAGTATTCTGATTCTGATTGAATCTATTTCTTTCTGTCTTTCTAAGTACACCAGCACTTGATACCCAAGTCTGTATCAAAGCATACACATTTACCTCTAAGCACACCCCAGCTGTCTGCATATACAGTAGTTTATCTGGTTCTCTCTGGAACACTCTGCCACATACCACAGGAAGAGAAGAGAAGCCACTATATACAATCGATGTGCTTACAGCTCAGTGTTCTGCTGCATCTGCTGGCATAACAGCATACACATGTGCGTGCACACAAATACACGTGGACATAACACTCTGTCCTTAAGACACTGTTATTCAGTCACATAAAAAATTAGTTTAAGGAAATCTACAAAGTTCAAAGGTAGCAGTGGTCCACTTTCTTCGTTTCAGATTCT